GGTCTTCCGTCATGGATGACGGTCGACCGTCCCGGCGGTGACCGTTGGACTGGCCGAGGGTACGGTCCACCGTCTGAAGTAACGGTCGACCGTCCCGGTGACAGTCTTCTGTCCTTGGCTACGTTTTGATCCATTTTGCAACCTTAACACCTTGATTCTTTTTAGAACAATAATACAAACATTGATGAATATATTCCTAGTGATTCCTAGGCCAATATTTATAAGTTTTACGTAGTGAACGTTTTGATGGCTAACCTACGAACATGCATAGATTCTACGTAGGTTGCGTACGATATTGCTATGAATATAACGACATAGATTATAACTAAATGTTCTAGAATTAGAGGGGACAACTACTCACCTCTAAATGATGGGGTTGATGAAACGGAAACGAGATGAACGTTTGACAATGAACGGACGAGTGTATGAACGAACGAACGAACGGCTTCTTGCGTGAACCTCTCCTCTTCTACCTCCTCGTATACTCGCCGGATTCCCCCCTTGTCTACCTGCTGCTGGTTGGCCGAGAATGCAAGCGAAGGAGGATGAGGGTTGTGTGTGTGTGGGAGTTACAAATGTGGTGGAAAATGAAGAGGGGAAGGAGGAATATATTGAAAGGGGATTAAAGGGAGTTTAATGGGAAATAATTGAAATGAAATGATGGGGTTTAAGGGGGATGGAAGTGGCGTGGGAAATGAAGAGTTAAGTGGGGAATTAATTCCCTAAATTCTACTTCGTTATGTAAAATCTGATCTGAACGGTACGCCGTTTCCCCCCCCGAACGGGTCCGAATTGAAAACCGTTTACGTTTTTGGAATCAGACAGTCAAAACAAATTTAATGACGTGTTCAAATAATATTTCTAAGAACTTTTATTTTCCCCAACTCTGGACCGGAACAGTAATTAATTAATTAAAACAACCAATTCTAATAGACCGGGTTGTAGGGCGTTACATATCTTTTTTTAACAAATAACATATACTAAAATTTGAGCACGATCAAACTTCAATTGCCCTTCGATGTGGATAGAAAATTAGGTTGCTACACAGTGTGGCGGAAATCAGGGTTCTCTCTTTCTTTTCTGTGTAGCTAGTGCCTTTTCCACTTATCTCTTATATCTCTTGTTTTCGTTTTGGTAGCCACACACAAGAGATTAAATGGACCACCATCAAAATAATACATTTGGGCTAATGCTTTAAATACAAAAAAATGAGACTACAAAATAAGATGCGGCAAGAATATATAGTCTTCGATACATCTCGGAGTCACGATCAAAGTGGGTAAAACATCATCTCTTTTAAAATCATTTTGTAATGCTACGAGAATATTTTATTTTAACAAATGATCAGAAATGGTAAAGTTAGGTTACAAAGTATTTTTTTCTTATTTAAGTTTAATCTTTTCTTATTTAAGTTTAATCTGTTTTTGCTAGTGTGAGTCGGTACTCTCTCCTGAAATTGAAATGATCTCATAATCCTGAAAAAAAAATACACTAAACATATAGAAAATATCAAAATAACAAAAGTTATGGAGAGATGTAAATAGTAAGAAAAAATACACTAAACATATAGAAAATATCAAAATAACCAAAGGTGTACCCTATATATCCCCACCCCTTCCTTGTCCACAAAAAAAGGTAAAAAAAATTTAAAAAAAAATAAATAAATAAAAATTAAATAAAAATGTGTGATGGAAAAGGGGATATGTATATTTGGGGTACACTTTTGGTGTACCCTGTTCAAATAGTAATCCTACCTTTTACATTGTCATTTTGGGAGTATCAGGCTCCTAAACTCGCCGCTAGTTTCCATCGCAGCCAGCAGGCCTGTGCAACAAGCATTTCCATTAATGGCGGAGTGGTGGAAGTGCGAAATGGGTACTGGACGATGGGCTTTTGTAATGTTGCTACTAGGGGTTTTCGTGCTTCATGGATTGGCTATCCTCTTATTCACCCATGGCTTCCTCCTCACCCGCACCGAGCTTTCTCAGTACAGCCAGTGCTCTGATGTCCACCGCTCTCCCTGCTTCCCACCCCCTTCTTCATTTCTCAATAAACACGAAGAAGAAGAAGAAGCGAAACATTCTCTTCCAGTCAATCATGGAAGTCGAAGTTGTTGGACCGAGCAATCCGTTGATCGCCTTGTTATCATTGTTCTTGATGCTCTCAGGTAATAATGTCATATTTCAGTTTCTGTCACTGTTTCCCCCCTTTTTCAATTTTTAGATTAGTCCCTCTGCCCACAGAAAAGAAAATGTTCGATTTGGCAAGAAACCCAGATTTAGGGAAGTATATTTCATGCATTTGAGTGAATTCGACTGCATTCTGCAACAAAGCCAGGCTATTGTGTACACAATAGCACCCTTGTAAACGGATAGGTGACTTCCATTAGAACTTTGGTTGCTTTTCTTTAATTTTACATCAGAAATGAGAGTACTTACATATAAATATTTTATCTTCATTTGTTAATCAAGAGACACAATTCTTTTTTTGCTATAAAACAATAAATGAAGTTGATTTTTTTTGGAAGGGGTCAATTTTTGTTGGTTTTTTTCCCTTTTTGAATGGAGTAACATCAAACACACACTGAGAGTCAGAGACATGACCTCTCCGTATAGTGAGGATAGTTCTCAAGGGACATAGGGAGTATATGGATTTAGTACAGTGTAGATGTTTACTTGGCTAATTCGGCATTAACAATTTTAAATCTTTATAATAGGTTTGACTTTGTTGCTCCCAGCACTTTTTTTCAAGGTATGCTCCTATCAGTCTGCACTTGCTGTGATATGTAGAAATTTAAGATGATGATTCTTGGTAGTTGGTACTAGTACCTTTAAATTCCACTACTCGGTTTGTCATTCAGCATTGCATTACTCAATAGTTGCTTCACTCTTGAGTCTCAGTCACGGCAAATACTAAAATATATGTTGTCCTCTTTTTTTCTTTCTATTAAATATTTTCTTTTAAAAGTTTTACGTATGCTTTAGAGAAAAAACCATGGATGGACAAGTTGCACATATTGCATAAGCTCGCCACTCGTCCAGGAACGTCTGCAAGGATCTTCAAAGCTATAGCAGATCCACCTACCACCAGCTTGCAACGTCTAAAAGTAACTATTTTCTCTCCATAATTACTCCAAAATGCCTATGGTCCTCAGGTCCCATTCACCACTGTGACATTAGTAGTTAAATTGTGTTTATCAGTATATGAATTTAGAGCATGCATATTTATGCATACAAAAAGGTTATTCTTGTGTGCTATATTATTTGTGTTTCATTGCTATGCTCTAGATTTGGAATTAGTTTCCTAACACTCCATCCCATGTTGGATGCCTAGCTTGTATAACAAGGCTTACTTGATGTTTTTTTTAACTTAGTTATTTGCTTAATTTAATTTCATGTTTTTATTCTAAAAGAGTCATTTTGACAATGTTTTAGCTTCCAGTAAATAATGGACTAAATTAAAGTGGCATATTAAATTTCCCTTCATTCTTACTTTCTATGATGTTTTGGGAAGTGGATGCATTGATGCATCAAGGGTCAAACGGAAACAAACGCCCTCTCTTTTTTTTACATGGCTAAGGTTGTGTAGATCTTGAACTCCAAAAACGTAGTTGGAATTATACTGGTGTTGTTATTGTTGTATTAGTATTCTATAAACAAGAAGTAATTTGACTATTTAATTACAAAAAAAATAAATTAGAGAGGGTAAACAAAATAAGATGTTGTTTGACCAAAAAATAGTAATGTGTCATCTATTTCGGGACATAGGGAGTAATAAGAGTGGCATTTTGACCATTCTGGTTTAGGGATTGACAACAGGTGGACTTCCTACTTTTATTGATGTGGGGAATAGCTTTGGCGCTCCTGCAATTATCGAGGACAATTTAATATACCAGGTAATGGCAAGGCTGCAGGTTTATATGCATTATTTTTTCTTGAAGCGTTTTTATTATATTGCTATATTCTAGCCAATTTACTACAGTGTGTATCAAATAGTGTTTATTCATTGATTCTTATTTTGTAGATGGTTCACAATGAAAAACGAGTCTGGATGATGGGAGATGACACTTGGTTGCAGTTGTTTCCTAATCATTTTAACACATCATATCCATTCCCTTCCTTCAATGTCAAAGATCTTCATACAGTATGCCTTGTATCTGATTTTATGTTGAAACTTTCTTTTCCTGAGGAAGTGTGCATTATAACCCTATTTTGCATTAAAAAATAGGGTGTAAGTTTGAGCATTGAAAAAATGCTTTCTTTCTGAATTTTTATGATTCTTGTCTGCTAGGTAGATAATGGCTGCACGGAGCACCTATTTCCATCTTTGTACAAAGATGATTGGGATGTTCTTATTGCACATTTTCTTGGAGTGGTACGGTTATCATAAGCAACCTCAAATGTTATGGCAGTTTCACATTTTCACCTGCTGACGTTCTTTGACCAATTGATTCCTATATTCAATTTCCAAGTCTCTAGGATCATGCTGGTCATATATCAGGTGTTGATTCTACTGAAATGATAGAGAAGTTGGAACAATATAATGGGATTCTAGAGGTACTTTTGTTAATTTAAACTTTTTTCATATTTAAGTTTGATGCATGTGACCTTTTTTGTTTTACGATGAGCTCAATATCCTTGATGCATTTTATATAGTTCTTCATGCTATTTAAATAAAATGAATTTCCCAACAAAGCAAGAATAACAACAAAAAAGGGGGTGGTGTATATTACATTATTTCCTTATAGACCTTTGCCTTTACATCACTGCTTTTGTTACACACATCTGGATTATGCTCATATTTTGCTCAAGCTGAAGACTCAATGGCTCTTGTTACCCAGTTTGAAGCAACCTTGACTCTTTGAATCATATCTTTACTGTTGATTGATTGTGTACTTGCAAAGTCTCACATGAATCAGAATAATTGCAAAATAGTGAATTGTGTATTTATGATAGTTCATTCAAATGTTTTGAATGGATTATCTTCAATGTAAAATCTATTATCTTGTATAACATGATAAAATCTGGGTACCCTTGGCAAAATCTGGGTACCCTTTGCATGTTGCTTCGTGTGTCATATTGCTTTGTTAATGAATGTAATGGACTGTGTCTTTAGAACATAGTGGATGTGCTGGAGAGCCAGAGTGGACCAGGAGGATTACATGAAAACACTTTGCTCCTTGTGATGGGTGATCATGGGCAAACTATCAATGGCGACCATGGTGGAGGGACTGCTGAAGAGGTTTAACACCTACCATTGAACTTCAGCCTCTACAACCAAATATACAGAAAACAACCTGAAAAAGAACACCGAATCAAGAACATTATGTGCTAGAGTGCCAATTCCTTTGTATCTCAGAGAAACATTTTTGCAGGTTGAGACATCACTTTTTGCCATGAGTTTTAAGAAGCCTCGATCTCCCTTGCCATTGGAATCTGGAACTTCATTTTGTGAAGCTAACCTGGTATTTCTCCATTATAAATACCTTCTTCATAAATATGATATCCCTTGTATTTGACAGTGCCTTTTACACGTGTAGTTGCACACACACACACACACTCTCTCTCCACATCTCAATTTTTTTGCCAAGTATATTAATAACCATTTTCTTTATGCGTTTGAATGCCTTGTATATTTTCCAGGACGGAAATAGGATGTGCATTAGCTCCATCCAACAGGTTAAGTGATAGTCACATTATGTGATGATACAGAATTATGTTTCTTTTTTAAGAGAATGCACTAAGCCATGCTTTATTATTTCAGCTTGATTTTGCAGTTACATTGTCAGCTCTTCTTGGCATTCCCTATCCATTTGGAAGGTGTTGTATAAGAATCTCGTCAATACATGTCATTTTTCTCAAAGCCACTTTATTGATCATGAAACCACATTATGCTTCTCTTTGCTTATTTCTATAAATTATAATGTGGTAAAAGCATTTATTTTCTTTTGATGCTTTATATTACTTAATCCATCCAATAAAAAAGGTTCCACATTTCCTCTTTTGTTTGTCCCAGAAGAATGTTCCTTCTTTCTTATGAGGAAGTGTGCGATCCACACGATTTTTCTCTCTGCACAAATCTTAGTCACACACTTTTGCCTTCATTAACAACAGTGCCCAGTCAATTATGGAACCTTATTGGATAGAGGGAGTACTTACATGTAAACCCTAGACTGCTTCTCCACCCACGCACATGGGGAGCCCACCTTGTGGGATTACACAAGGTCTCTAGACCACTTGATTACTTGGCCAAGCCCAATGTATCAGAGCCTGAAACCCTGGAAAAACATAAATTCTGTTTGAGAGGATACCAAAGGGAACCTGTACTGTATCAAAGGTGTCGTGATAGTAGACTGGTAGGGATTTTGTCATATGAAGTCATAGACATCCTACTGAGTGATTCTCGAGGCGCTTCAGTTTTTTGGTGGTTAGTGGGAATGAACAGGCTGCACAAGACTGACAGTTCGCTTCTAGTGTTGACAGTGGTGAGAAGCACGTTGGTGAAGAAATGTCTATTGGATGTTGGTGAAGTGTCCACTGCAGTGAGCATGGACAATGTTCAGTGTCATCGTTTCTATTCCGTGCTTTGTTTCTGCATTCCTGGATATTTGTTTGTTGTTTCCCTAAATTAGGGGCTACCTTAGCTCAAAGTTGGAGAAAATTGTTCTTGGTCAGTGCCTCAGCGGGTGGCTAAGGTTTCCGGGGCTAGAATATTAGAGAATGGCTATGATGAGAATTTTTCTTGAAAATTGTGGTTGGAGGGGTCAGTGAACTTTAGTGTTTTACTGCTTGGTTTATTCTGACTATTAGTTGACCTCCAAACTGTGTATTGAAGAACATATCTGTTTACTTTTAACTATAATAGAAATGACATTGTTAGTTACTAGAACATTCTATGTATCACTATCACGTGAGTCACATTTTGATTACAACAAAATAAAAGCTTGTAAAAACTAAAAACCTTCCGTGTTCCACTTTGGAAAACAGTTGGATGTAGGTAGGATACGAGATAGATAATTAAGGGCCAAACTGTCATGCTTGAGTTGGTTTTTGTGGTGGAGTTAGTCCTTGATGTGTCTATGTGCGTACACTCTCCTTTTCTGATGCACCCGATATCCTTTCAATGAGATCTGGTGTGTTGCAGGAAAAAGATGTTTTTGTGCTTCATAATCTGGCTTGGTAAGGTCTAGAATGAAGCTGGCCAAGAGGGAAAGGGGCTACTTGGTGTGGGGATAGTTCGGAGAAAAGAGTCTGAGCGATTGCTAAATCTGGATGTCCGACTTGTCTATGGGTGGGCTTACGACCCGTCCTCCCACGTTGCAAAATTATTGGACATCTAGATGGAGTATGAAGTTTGAACACTGAAGGGCAAAATATCCACTCTTGTCTTTTGTTTCCAAGGGTGTGTAGGGAGCTTAATGATAAAAATCTGGTGCTGACTCGTTCTGAAGCATGAGTCTGAACTGGTAACTTCCTAAACCCATCTGCACCTGTTGATTCACGAGTTAAGAATGGACTTGCACGACTCATTCATGTGGGCCACAATAAGGTGGTGTAGTAAAACTAAAAGTATTGGTAACAAGAAATATAATTTCACTCAGTGTCTTGGTCTAGCTCTAGTCTATGGATCGTTCCCTCCCAAAGTTATACAGTTTGTGATCTTGAAATTAGAGAGTGATGGATGTATTACTCCCTCCGTCTAGTAAATTTCTTCTTGTTTTGACTTGGCACAGTTTTTAATGTATGATAAAAAGGTGTTTGACTTTCCAAAATTACCCCTATAACTAGATCAGCTTTTGGAACAGTTAACACCAGATCTGCTCTGCAATTGATTTTCTCCGGTGTGATTTTAGGCTGCACAACCCTGTATTAATTCTTTCCTTAACTCCAGAGAACATTAGCAACATGAGATTTTGTCCCCAGAGGAATGCCTGAAATTGATGAGGCGATGATGGAGCAAGAGATGCGAAGCAGATCATCTTTCCAGCGTATACCAGAAGCAGATTACCTTTCCTTGGCAGCCTCCTTTTTCCATGAAGATCTGAGAAGGTTTTCAAGAGATCGAGAGATATGACGCCTGTGGAGAAGCAGTGACAGTTGAGGAGCGATGGCGGCAGTGGAGGAGGAGCAGCTGCAATGGTTGCAGAGGAGGAAGTGGAGGAACGATGGTGGCGGTTGTAGAGTTGGGTTAGGATGTAGATAGTAGGTGAGTATTTAAGAATGTAGTTGGTTACTTATGAAAGTAAGATTTTGGAAGCAAAATTACTGAATTAGCAAGTGATTCTTTTCAGAATAAAAAACACATGAAACATTTTGCTGATTCTGAGATGAATTCTGCTTTCAGAATCAAAGCCCAATGGCTCCTTAGCGACCTTTCATGAAAATCTCATTGATTGAATTTAGAATGGGGTAGGATAACTAGATTGGGTAATAAGATACTTGGGCTGAACCACATTAAAAGATTGAATCCAATTAATTAGTTAGTTTAACTCAAGAGCTTATATACCGATTATTTTTACTCTTGGACTTTCGATGTGGGATGCACTCTTACACCCCCTCAAGTGGACAACTAGGTCATTTTGAATCTAACCGGTTGACCACTTGCAAATGGACTCCCATCCCCTTGATTTTTTTGAGCGCCAACACCTAAAGGATCACGAGCCGCTGGGTTTGGACTTCCAGACAAGCAAGACAAGCAATCGTGTTAAACGGGCCACAAACCATTGGGTACATACTCCATACAGAGAACTGGGTTAATGTAATATCTGGGCCTGGCCCTATCATACCCTCCCCCATGTCCCCCACCCTTGCAAAGACCAAAGGATGCACGTTCAAACATTATGATCCATTTTAGTGCGAATTCCGAGTCCTTCAACCCGAGCGGCCAGAATAACTTTGGGCCAAAGGGTTCCACAAACCGACTCCCACTCCATCCAACCCAACCCTAAATATCCAAATCCCCTTTCCATTTAATTCATTTCAAAATAAAGTTTTTATTACTCTTATTTTAGCCCCTGGCCGAAAATAAGAGTGTGTAAACCAAAACCTTTTGTTTGTTGTTATTTTCCTTCTTTTAAGCCTTTTAATAAACAAATAAAACCTTCTCT